TCAAAGTTATTTTAGTGTCTTAATTGATTTGAATTTTTTATTCATGCCATGTCACTGTCATTCACTCATCCCTCAACTTTACTATCTCACCTATATCTTACCTTACCCTAACTTCCTTTTTTTTTTTTTTCTTAAGACCTTATCTTTTATCTTTTTATTACCTAGTTTTTTGTGGTCTTATTGAAATGTCTTAAATTATATTATTACATTAATATTTTTTTTTACCTTTCAATATTCAATTTTTATATTTAACTTTTTCTTTTGGTTATGTTGTTGTGAATGTCTGTTTTGCTATTGCTGCTGTCGCCTATTGTGGAGAGGGGTTGAGGGCTAGTTTGCCTTTCTTCAGGGAAAGTTTTGCCTTTCCTGAAGAGCAACCAAAACTTGAATTTTTGATTTATTGATTACCGCGCGCACCGCTTCGCTTTGTGGTTATCTTAAGTTTTCTCTTATACGAGCTGCTCAACTTCTGTTTAAGTGATTTTTCTGGTCCGTTGGGGGAAATCAATTGGAAAAGCTGTGTACCACCTTATTGACACAGGCTTGGTAGCAGGAGTTAGAATCGGGTGGTTTTTTGAGATTGGCGGTTAATTGAGATAATTGCATTCCTATAGTCTGGCTAGCGAAACGGCGAACTGCAAAAGAATTTGATGCTTTGTCAAACTTGACGGAAATTAGAAACAAAATAATAAACAAGTTGGTGACATATTTTTTTTTTGCTATATGGGCATGTGTAATATTTTGAAATAGGAAAAAATCAGGCAACATTGCGAAATGATGGAAGTGGAGAGGCGCGATTATTCAGAAACAAGATTCTATTGGTTAGAGCCTGAACGACAGCACGCAGTGGCGTGGTTATTGGCGAAACTAGAGAATCTTTTTTCTAATCATTTTATTGGTTTATTTTCTTGGTGTTTTCGGTGCCACTGAACTCAAAGACATGGCTGTCATCAGACGGTGTCAGTTGAGGTGTCAGTGAATATATTTTTATCCCTTCTTGATTGAGTCTTTTTACGGATAACTTGTATATGGCGGCTGATCCCCGTTCATATGCAAGGGATGAAAGGTCTTTCTTACTTCCTCTCCAGGAACTCCGCCCAGAACTAAATACATTACGTATAAATTGGCGTTTCAATCTTTCCACTGTTGGGTCTTTCCTGACAGTTTCTTCTGTGATGTCCGTTCTTACTTTTCCTTTAGTTTCAAGAAAGAGATTGGCGAGTCTGAAAAAGCATATCAGAAGAGACACTCAACCAGCAACATTATTTTTTTACAGTAATTTTTCTTATTACAAGTACTAGAGTGATTCATCGATTCAGGTTCCAAAAATCCATGATTTGTGATTCAATTGTTCAAATTTAAGTAATTATCTTAATTTTCTTTAAGAATGCCATAAATTTTATTTGTAACAAAGTTACGCAACAATCCACTCGTTTGTACTTGAATAAATTGTCACATTATGTTCCTAGTTTGGTAAAGTAACATTACTTATTCCTGTTAAAAGGCAAACTGACAAAAAAATGGACAATCTTAAAAATTCTGACTTTATATAATAAGTTATTGTTCAAGTATAAATAAGTGGATTGTTGCAGAACTTATGGGTGGACCTCTGCGGAACTCGCTGCGCTCGTTCCGCAGCCATCTAATCACCAATATACTGTTGAACTGTTCAAGTAAGACAATCACCTGAAACGTGTAGTTTGCGAACTAATGAGAAAAACTCACAACTGAGAGAATCAAGTTAGTATTGTACTTGAACAACATATTACTAAATAAATGGCTGTGGCTGCGGAACTCTACCCATAAATTCCGCAACAATCCACTCCGCATAAATTTGGGATCGCTGTATCCGAAAGAATGCAGCTGGCACTGAACATTATTTATCGAAATTTGCTGCCAAAAAACTGTGGCTGAACTGGCAAGGTGATCCTTGAATGACAATACACGCAGGGAATGAAGGGAATGACAAAGCTGATCTTCTTGCGAGAAAAGGATCAGAGAAAACATTGGACATGTGTTATATCATATCAACATGTAGGAGGCAAACTGGAGGAACAGTTGAGAAAGCAACACAAAAAACTTTCGATGGAACTTTCTGGACTTAGGCAGTCGAAACTCTTTATGGAAGGACCATCTGAGAGCAGAACAGAAGAGCTGGTTAGCTTAAGTAGGGGAAAATTGAGAGATGTGGTTGGATTGTGGACAGGACACTGTCCGTTCAGAAAACACCTAAACACAATGAAGCTAGCAGAAGATTCGCTGTGCGAAAGGTGCGCAGAGGAAGATTAAACACCTTTAGATGTATAATGCCAATGTCCCGAACCAAAGGAAATTGCGAAAGCAAAGATCAGGGTTATCCTGGGATTTACTAAGGGAGTGGACCTGATATGAAAACTTCAGGTGACAATGAGTCGCGAGCTTCAGTGCAGGTGTCCGCACACTCCAGGAGAGAATTGAATATGCGTGATTGAGGAAGATCTTTTATTCAGATTGAAGCTCAATCAACAATCTTTAGTGTCCTAGCAAATAGGACTTACCATAAGCATAAAAGCTAGCCAGGTACTTTAAACTTGCTATAGAAGATTTACCATAAACTGGCAGTAAAATTTAACGATACATTAAACTAATTTGTTAATAGTTGGTGAAACTTCTCGAGTAAGATTCCGAAATCAAATATTTATGATACTCCTTTGAGAGCGTCGATGTCGCTTTTAGCATCTGCACAAATAATGACTGTGAGAATAAATTCCGGAATTGGTCGTTAGTTTCCAACCTCGAAGTTTTCCCATCTTACTTACGTGACACTCGAATTATGGTTTACCCATTCGGAGCGCCCGGGTACGTACAGAATTTAAACGAAAATTATGTTTAATTATGGCAATTATGAGTCTAAATAAGACCTTAAATTCGCTAGATAGAGACATAAAGCGGACGAATGTAAGACGTGTTTGTTTGGGCGTATTTCACAACTTCACCAAAATTTGTGAAAGTATGATACACTTCTTTGCCATTTGAAAATTTGGCTCTTAAGTTTTATGTCACTGCTGTTTCCTTAACATAACAATTATAATTAGTGTAAAGGTATAAGATCCTTAATTTGCATTTCCCGAAGTTGGGATGAGAAAAAGATAATGAAGAAGCAGTTAGGTCGTCTAGAAAGGAAAATTTCAAAAGAAAATGTTTTAAATTCTAATGAAAATGCAAAATAGTTATTTTTTTTCAGAAAATTAAGTAAAGGTAACATAATTTACTAGAAAGAAACAACGCATGAATACTTACAAGAATTCGAAATTTGCATTTAACACTGTAATGGCTTATGTTAATTACCAGAGAATGGCTGAGAATTTAAATTGTTTTATTTGTCTGAGATATCTTGCCAACGAAATACTTTTTATTTCCTGTTAATTAACTTCTGCTCTATTGTAATTCTTACCTTCCCAAAAGTAATATAATAAAAATAAAACATTATCAGTTAAATCTTATAAGCAACCACATAAAACAAGCTATTATGCCTAAAAAACTTAAAACTGAGAAAAGCTACGAATAATGTCTGTCATTATGTTGAAAAATGTGTTAGTGTCGATGCTCGAAACTCGACCGTACACGCTCTAAAAACAAAATAAAAGTTAAACACCCGCAGATGAAATACGGATCTCTGTTTTCTGCAGATTGTGTTTGTTGACGCAGATGGTATTAGTTTTTGAATTAACGTTGTGATGATTTTATTAATTTATACTGTGCTAATGAAATTGCATTTCATGCTTGTAAGATTAAATTCTATTAGGGTAAAAGCAAGTTTCAAAACGAAAACAAAAATCGTATTGGCAAAAGCTTGTAATCCACTTATACTGGAACTAATTGTCCGTATAGAAGAGGGTAGAATTACATTCACATTCTAATAAAGATTAAACTCTAGCATCAATGACCTTTTTTTCAGTTGAGCACGAGTTTCCATTCGGCGTTGTATAATGGCCAGCGACCCCTAATAGCTTTTTTTTGCTTTATTTCGAAGGGCATTAGGCAAATTTTACCACCGTATGTAATCGAGATACATTTGCATTTTGCATATATTCCGTAAAAGAAAGATAAATAATAATGGAGCTACTCTAAGTGCCTATACGATGAAAAACTAAAAAAACCAGTGAGCGCAAATTGATTTTCATCGTTGAGATGTTTCGCGTGTCTTATTTCGCATGGAAATTGAACACTCGGGAATCACGTGCATCCCCAAATTTTACGACACAAGACCCAATTTTATATTCTACACCAGAAATCGATCACGTTATTTCTCCTATAAATTTACTGAATGATTTCAGTTGCTTGATTGTAGGTAATCATCATCATCAGACACACCCAAAATAAATATAAAATTACATACCTACCAATCATAATGATTTGTTTCAAATGTTTCCTTTTCGCGTATTAAAATCCATAAATATTATTTCAGTGGGTTCAATTTCGATAAAAGCAGATGTTTACTTTATTAGTAAAGTGCAATTTTGCTCTAAGGTATAGGAAAAGCCTTTCTTAATGCGATTTTGAGGAATATGTAACCAACATTCGTTAAATGAATATAGTTTTGCAAGAAGAAGTTAATCAAAATGAAGTTCTTGCAGGAAATAAGTTGATTATGACTAGTCTCAGTTTGTTCTATTTAACTTAAAACCTGCTCTAACTTTATTGAAGTTTATATAACAAGTTTTGAAGTTAATGCGCGCAAAGAAAAGCTATTATGCACTATTGTAGCATAGTTTGTGCATTTATATAATTACGTACTAAATTCATATATTAATTGGATACATAAATACTCTCCGAGCCACATCCAGTTCCAATTTGAGATTCTGGAAGTAGAAACCGTGAAGTGGATTATTGAAATACGCTTTGTCTAAGTACGTAAGTTTGTCTACTAAAGTCAAACAACAAGTTTACAAGTTGTAAGGGCATATGCACATCGGTGACATGTTAAAGGATAAGTTTGGTACGTATTGCATTTAACTTACCCGGTCCAAAGTACGAACTCAACGTTTTCATTTTGTCTGGTCATCATCATTTTGGCAGCAGATTCTATTAGTTCCCACGTTGAATCGCAACTGTAATCGCCATATTGGCTGAGTGGTCCGCGTTGACCTCTCATGTTTGAACTTCCATCGTAGCTGGGCCTCCAACAACCTAAATTAGAAATACAAAATGTTATTTTAATCAAACATTTTACGCATTGATTATAGGCTTTTAGCCTAGATCGCACAAGGTATATTTACCGGCTTGCTGAGGCGTTAATCTAGTAATTGAAAAATCAATGATAAATTATAACGTTGAAATAAAGAATCCGGCGTGTCACAATAGAAGCTATTTGATTACATCACAATCTCGTATCGAATCCCGGGCCAAAGGTGGTAGTTACCAAATCAATAATGTAAAGCACTAATAAAAGCTACACAAAGGACGATTTAAATGACGCTGTTGCACGTTTAAAACATCATGTTGTAATTTCGTTGCGAGCGTTGTAATAATAAAACTTGGGTGTTTAATTATTTTTGCTTACCAGGGCGTATATGAAACTTTTGAATTGGATGGAAATAATAGAAGATTCTTTTGTAGTAGATATATAAATAGTGTAACCCCTAACAAGAGGCCCATAATATGCTCGGTTTGCTCAGCGAAAAATTATTAGGTGTGGGTTGATAGTTTAATCAGTACAGAATGGCAAAGGCGCCACTGAATTTGAAAAAAAAAAAAAATGTACACAACTCAAATCTTGACATATAGGTCAACCGATAAAACAGTTGAGTAAAATTTCAAATTAAAATAGTATATATTTTCACAGTCAGTCAAAAATTCAGCATTGAATTATTTCTAATAATAAATATTAACAATTAATAATTGTTGGTAAAACACCTTGGATCAAACCAGATAAAAGAGGTCAAGCTCAAAAAAAAAAAATGTATAAGCATGATAACAATGCACCTCAATACACTTGTCTCATAAATTCATTAACAGCCGCTGGCCATATAATTATCAGAAAATGCAAATATAAAAGATTTAGGTTTCCAGAAAACTAATTGAAAAAATTGAATGATTATTGAAAATTGATCAATTTTCGACGGTAGGCTATTACCAAACAATTTTAAATTTAGAACATGTTGTCCAACCTTGACCTTATTCAGATTACTCATCGTCTATTATTGAAAAAATTTATGCAAAGACAAAACCATCCATCCTCGGTCACTTGACGAAGGGGACCACACCTGGAACTTGCGAATTCCAGCACAGAATCCAGGCAATGTCGTCAAATGTGGGACACGCATATCGACTTGTGAGGGTCTTGATTCTTGTAGGGTAGGAATCCCTTCAAAAGCTCTATGCCACACTCCACGGAAATAGTGTTACTATTGAAAATGTGGCCTTTTTGAAATGGACTTTTTGAAAGAAACGGCTCTCCGAAAGACCCTAAGTAATGAGGCATTCCCTGAACAACCATTACTTGAAAAAATAAAATAAAGAAACTTACCACGAGTGGGGTCGAAATTCAAACTTGATTAAAACGTTATTCCCGAGATTTTTTAATTTAATTTTTTCGATATTTAATGGATTATTGCTCTACGCGACTTTATTTCGTGACGATAATGCCTGAAGGCCGATAAGGTACTTTATTTTTCTACGGCTTCTCGAGAAGATGGCCGATCGACTTTGCAGAAGAGAATGGAAATGGACAAGGTGAGCATACAGCACTTCCTCTCAACGGGAAACGTTGGTACTAACCAGTACATCAAATTTAAATGAAAATCGTGCCCTCTGGTATAATAATTCAATAATTGTGCTAGCATTATGAGTAGCAGGAACCCTCTATTTTAAATGTTAGTCACCAGACTGGCAACATTAAAAAGGGTTATATAAAATTAAATTTAAAAAAAAGGAACAAGTAACTTTACACGTTACAATAGAAGTATAAATATTATTATTTATCGTAAATGGCAATTTATATCTAGGATTATTCAGTTAACTTTTCGTCAGGTATGGTAATACCTATCACTTATTGAACTCAACAGTATCAAAAAAAATGGATTCCACGTACAGATCAATTTAAATCAAAATACCAGCAACAATTTGAAGAAGTTCGGGACTATAGAAAACTATATTTCTAATTGGTTTGTCACCTATTTGTGTTCACTACTATAAACCGTTTTAATAAATAATAGGCCGGATAATTTGGTTTTTTCCTGTAATCGTTGTGTGAGCGTATTGATATTAAACGGCAGATGAATACCTTGAAAAGCGTATACAAAGTATAGGCAACCAGGCGGGCAAGCCACGAGCGCTATGGCGATGCGAAAAGGAGAGAGAGGTGGTACGGTGGACTACGACGGGAGGACACAGATGTTGTTGTTGGAGAATGGCACGTGTGTTGGAAACCATGTTGAAAGGCGGCTTGGCGAAAAGCATCCAGCAAATAGTGGCTAAGGAGTTACGGCAGGCTCGTGAGACAGATAGGCGAGAGAGACCAACCGAGGTGGTTCCACAGGCCTCAGGATCTGGCACCGAGGCGAAGCGTGTCAGGTCGAACTCGTCATGCAGTTCGGGCAAGGGCGGATGGAAAGATCATCGAGCCTTTTGATCCGCAGAGCCGCGATTGTAATGTGGTTCGTAGGCTGAACCAAATTGATGAGCTTGGAGAGATTCATGGTTGGACAGAGTATGAACTTCATGCAGACTAAGTTGCAAGGTGCTGCAAGAGCCTGGTTAACCAGATTGGACGATTACAATTTGTCATGGCAGGCGTGGAAGGTGTCCCTTAGCAAGGCGTTTCCTAGTGAGCACGACTACGCCGAGCTGTTAACGGAGATGCTGGCGAGAGTCAAAGTGACGGGCGAGACCATGACTCACTATTACCATGATAAAATAACGTTGATTGGTCGGTACAGAAGCGTTATCGTGTTTGATTAGGGGACTGCCTCTCCATCTACGGGCGAATGCCAGGGCATTTCAGTGCTCTACTACTGGCGAACTGTATACTAGTATCCTTTCTTCTTTTTACAGGTATCAACAAACCTCAACCAGTGGCGGCAATGGCGACCTGAAGAAGCAAGTGACGTGGCAGGTACCTTCCAAAGTAACGAGGCAACCAAAGAGGGAGGCATCCACTGCGAAAGCGGGGATCCGATGTTATAATTGCCAGGAGGTGGGCAATCACATGAGCAAGGACTGTCCTAAGCTCAAGGCGGAGAGGTGTATGCGGTGTGGCAAAACAGGGCATGATCGGTTCAGTTGTCCCAGGCGAAGTGCAGTTGGCAATGAACGACATAGTAAAAAGGCGGTACATGGGCTATCAGGTAAGACTTATAGATGCGGTGGATAACACTTATAAAAAAGGGCGATTATGCAAGATGGGCGTTCAATCAAGGCGTATATTGATACTGGTAGTAAGCAAAACATAATTCGGCGAGAATGTTTTGAAACTCTTGGCGATTACCAGATTAACCCATCTAGCATAGTGCTGAAAGGTTTTGGCGGAGCTATGTGTACAGTGAAAGGCGAGGTGACGTTGCCTCTCACTGTGGACAAGGTGGTCAGGGCGCTGATTGCCGATTGTGAACTTGCTGGCGCTGATATTCTTTTAGGGCAACCGGCGTTAGCAACAGAAGGCGTGGTGCTGACAGTGCATGACGGCAAGGCGCAGCTGACTAGCACTGAGAAGGAGAAGGCAGAGGATTTCATTCCGAACATCACCCTGGGCGATGATGAGACCGAGGCGCAGGTCACAGAGAAAGTACTGGCGTTGGAGGATGTCACTGTATCTCCAGGCGAGGAGAGTGACATACTCATTGTAGTTGAGGGACTGTACCAAGGCGAAAAGGGCTATGGCGAGCGAAATGGTGCAGTTGTGGCAATCGGTAACCATGTACTGGAAGGCGGACGTTCTGATGGATTGAAGGTGCGCAATCTGGGACACAGGCTAGTGCAGTGGAAGACTGGACAGGTGGTGGCGAGAGCCGTGAAGATGAGTGTGGCGATACCAAAGAAACAAGGCGAGATAAGTTCAACTATATTTGCTAGTCATAGTATACTTAATCTTTCATGTATTCAAGTAGGCGATATTGGTAGAACTAATTTGTCTAAGTAGCATGATTTGTTGCACAGAATGGCGATGTGTTTTTCGACTGGTGAGAATGATTTGGGCGAAATGAGAATTCAGATGACGACTGATAGGCCAGTGGTCTATGGGCCTTATCGTTTATCATTTACTGAGAGGGCCTTAGCAAGAGAGAAGGTGCAAAATTTATTGGATGCAGGCGTTATCCGGGAAAGTGAGTCGGCGTTTACAAGTCCAATTGTACTGATACCGAGGAAAAATGAAGATGTTCGTATATGTGTAGATTACAGGGCGCTGAATGCGATTAAGGTGAAGGATTGATTCCCTTTACCTCGGATTGAGGACCAATTGGACCGACTGGCGGGCAAGTGCTACTACACTACTTTGGATTTGGCGCAGGGATATCATCAAGTACCTGTGGCGACGGATTCTGTGTCCAAAACGGCGTTTGTAGTTCCTGATGGACATTACGAGTACTTGAGAGTGCCTTCCGGATTGGCGAATGCTCCAGCCGTTTTTCAGAGGATGATAAATCGAATGCTGAAGGGCATCCAGAATGATCTTGTGTTGGCGTACATGGATGATCTTCTCATACCTTCATCTTTTATTTCTTCCAAAAACGCCCTGTTGGGAAGGGTTCTGCAAATCGTGGCGGAGGCGAATTTGAAATTGAATCTGGCGGAGTACATTTTTCTGCAGGTTAAGTTGGAGTATTTGGGGCATGAGGTGAGTGCAGGTGGCATTCGCCCAGGTGAAAGGAAAGTTCAGGCCCATTCTGCCGAAGTCGAAAGGGCAATCAGTATGTGCTCATGGTGGTTGACGCATTTTCCAAGTATTCTCTGGCGAAGCCAACAAAGACTATAAGGTCTTCAGAGCGTATTCTCAATCTGAGAAAGGTGTTTGGCGAATTTGGGTACCCAAGACGTATTATTTCCGACCGCGGATTGGTGTTCACAAGCAAGGCGTTTGCTGACTTTCTGGCGATGCGAGATGTAAAACATGTGTTGAATGCAATTGCTACACCCAGGGTGAATGGTCAGGTGGAAAGACAGAATCCAACATTGCTCAATGCAGTAGAGGCGAGTGCTGAGTTTGATTAGGACGCTCAGCTGTCTGACATTGTGTGGGAAATTTATCATACTTTGAATCAGAGCACTGGATTTTCCCCGGTTCAGTTGCGCTTTCCACATAATGATGGCGTGAATGCAGATCTGTCTGGTGATGTGCAGGTGGCAAATGCACAAGCAGCTGAAGACGAATCTTATGATGATATACGAGCAGCTATCAATGAAAGGCGTGAAAAGGCGAGTGAAAATCTGACAAAGGCGGGACGTAAAATGAAGGCGTTATATGATGGTAGGCGAAAGGTTGTAGCCGCGGGCGACACTTACAAGGTGGGTGACTTAGTATTATGACGACAAGCGGGAACTTGTTCAGCGGAAAAAGGCGTTGAAAGAAAAATGATAAATAAGTACGATGGTCCATATCGAGCTTCCAAAGTGATAGGGAATGATAGATATGTGATAACTGGTAGTAAAGGAGCTATGACAATTCTAGGCCAAAATCGGTCATTTTCCCATGTAAATTTCCATAAGAAAATCTAAGGTCCGATTTGGCAATTTTTGTACCGTTTAAGGTCATCCGTCCAGCCCGCCAGCCGCCGCTAAGCCCCGCCACCCTTTCCAGTGCCTGTGTCTTTCATCGGAGTAGTAACGGGGCACCTAAGCCTGAGAAATTTTTCGATACCGTGGGAAAATCTCTAGATCGGCGGCGCCTTTGATCTGAAATTTCGTGGATTTGACCCGGGCCAACCGGTTAACAGCGGAATATGATACTCCTGTTTGTTCCCATATTAAACGTCGGCGGCGTGCTGATTCACGAATTTTTCTTCTTTATCCTGTATAAGGACACAACGAACTTCACACGCTAGATGGCGACACCGATAACATCATGACATCGAAAAATTTTGGGTTGGCCCGGGTCAAATCCACGAAATTTCAGATCAAAAGCGCCGCCGATCTAGAGATTTTCCCCACGGTATCGAATAATTTCTCAGGCTCACGTGCGCCCGTTACTACACGGGCTGCTGACCAGTTAGTGCGACCGATGAAAGACACGGGCACTGGAAAGGGGGGCGGGGCTTAGCGTCGGCTGGCGGGCTGGACGGATGACCTTGAACGGTACAAAAATTGACAAATCGAACCTTAGATTTTCTTATGGAGATTTACATGGGAAAATGACCGATTTTGGCCTAGAATTGTCATAGCTCCTTTACTACTGGTGTGACAGGTATGCGAGGGTATACATCTTTTAAGGCGCTCGTATAGTACTATAGAACATCATCACACAATGAGAATACTCAATGAAAAGACGACCGAATATAACATTACCCAAGCTGTTTATCCCAGCCTGGACAGTCCTAGGACAGGAAGTAATATTTGGCAAAGTCAATCAAGATCATGAAATTAATAGGAGAATACGACTGGGATAGAGGATAGAGAATAGCTAGGAAGGAAAGGAAGTATATCATACTAAGAAATATAAATAGGTATAATGAAACATTTAATTTAAAAGATATAGCATGAGGTTCCCTTTCTTACGATAATGACAATGAAATCTCCTCTAGCAGATATATTGATATAAGATAAGAATACCACATAAATAAATATAAATACCATACCTTTCCTTACGTCTTGATACGAATTGAAGTGCCCATCGTAGTGGATGTCCGTTATATGCCAGAAGTATCCTGAAAAAAAAACAAGACATCTATAAGTACCAACGTTAAATTATTGCAATTTTACGAGGTTTGTAAAAGGTATAATATACGGTAAAAGGCGTAAAACTATATATTATCATTTCGAACGGGGTTGCTGCTGTAATTTCTCCATTATGCTCTGGCGCAGCAGTAAAGCTAAATGGAATTTATTATTATATGTTTCAAAAGGACACTCATAAAGATGCAGTCCTAATAAAATAATGTTTGCTTTAAAGTGTGTAATGTGTGATGATTAAAGCAACAAATTTCGATCGATAAAACCACCCGCCCATTAGTTTACGAACTAGGGAAAACATCTTCGTCATACGTGTCCAGATAAATTTGCGGATATTATCGCATCCCGAGCTTCTGTTTAAGTAGACCGAATCGCCATTCAGACTTTCCACCAATTGGGAAACTTTTCACGGAGTAAAGTTCCAACTCCAAATTTACTCTTTCTTCGAGTTGTCGTTAAATTTTGTTTAGATGTGCCAAATAAATACGACTCGAATCTTATTGGATGAATTTTTATAAGTCAAACTTTAACCTCTGATCATGTAGATTAGAACCAACTAATCCGACTTGTGAATAACCCACTTTACAATGGTAATATGGCCTCGAGAACTATAATCTGTCGTAATAGTACTGTTTACTAATCTCTATCCCTTTTAGAATTAATTGGAAGGCTTACTGCATCAAATGGAAAGGGGTACAATTAAACACGCATTGGTTATCGGAATGATAAACTACAGTTTCTAATATTGTTGGGAGTTTTATCTTTAAGCCGATTATATTGGAAACCAATATCTGCTGTCAAAGGGAGCTTGACAAAAATGTTATTATGAGAAGAAAAAAATATTTGTCATTTATTTTGTTACGCGATGATTAGGACTGTAAATAAATCGATAAATGGGTCACATGAAAAGCCTTTTCCGACCGAATTTTCTCTAAAGACACGTCAAAATCCCCCGATTTTGGTCCCAACAAGATGAATAGAGAGATAAAAAAAAAAGATTTTTATTTTTCATCTGAAAAATGTGTTTCTTCTTTTGATGGAGACATGAAAAAAATATATTTGTTGGAGGAAAGAAAGCAAAATAATAATTATAAGTAGGCACATGTATACCGTACCTTAACAAATTATGTCCATTGAATGTGTTAGATTAACAACTTATTGGAGAAATTTCAATTTTTGCGTTTTAAATATGAGTCGCTGGTAACAAAGACATTTTTATTTGCTTTGATTGCCGTCGAAGCCAGAAGCAGTCTAGACATATTTTGATTAGAAATGCTGCTGAATGTTTTATACCTAAATTGATCTCTAAACAAAATTATGGAAATTGAGGGGGTTTCTTTTATCGTCAGTATTTTCTGATAAGTTCAATTAATGGCTAATCGAACTTCCATTGATAACAGACCTCCGATAATCAACTGATTAGATTCAAAATAGCCAATAGCATTTCTCTTTCAGTGCTAAAGGTGTTTGAATGAGATCAACAGAGTATATATATAAATAGTTCTAGGTTTTCTAAAGAAATTCTCAAACCAGTGACTATGAGGGCTCCTTTAGAAACTCAGGCAAATTTCCAATAAAAGATTTAAAGTAAATTGATGAGCTTTAATCCAGCTCAACTCAATTTAATTCAGGTCATCAATATCAAGTAAATCAAATCCGATAAAAATCTAATAAGGATTCTACATTTAAGTTACACGTGTTCGTTAACCGATACTGCTTTATTCTTGTAATCCAATTAGAATTGTACACAAACTTGTAGAGGCTTCAGGATGCAATATCCTGTAAATTGGCTATATTTTCATCTTTGTTAGATTGTTAGCCCAAGAACAAACGTCACTAAAAATAAACCTATTTATCTAAGTAGCTAAAATGGACAGAGCTCTAACGGGGAGAGAGAGAGTATACGGCAAAATAAACGTTTTGTTGCTGAATTATGCATTACCTGGGTGCGGGAGAGAGCGCGGCTATATTTTCCACCCAAAATAATGCGGTGGTGAATTTTTAAAGCACTCGAATTTTTATTTCACGGAAAACGAAACATTTTAATTCGCCGTTATAATAGTAAAAGTTCCGTCGGTTAGGGCTTTTAACGTGATGGTTTGCAAATGAATAGCTACTTCCTGTTGCTTTCTCTGTTTGTTTTCTAAAGCTACTTTTAATATTGACAGTTTCTTTTAAAAGTAAAATGTTTTTGAAAATAACAGCAGGAGTTTTAATATAAAAAAACACGACACGAAAAATATATTCACGTGCATGTATCAAAAAGATCGAGAAATTGGAGTAATTGGGCGTGTACGGAATTCGAGAGTATGTTCCTGTAAAGTTACAGTCTTCTGGCACTAATGAATCAACCCTAATGTCCCAAGAAATCACAGCGCCTATCAAAACCTGTTGCCAGTAGAGAAAATTCTTATGAAAACTCCTGTGAAAATTTGTTACGATAAATTTATCATTAACGTAACATGTTCCATATCTTCTTATTTTCATTATAAAGTTTTTCCATTTCAGAATCAGCAAAATAATAATTCCTAATAATCTAAAAATATTCACAAAGTTCAAAATAATACAAGTGCTGCCATCTATCCATCGTGTGCGTAAAATGCAAATTTCTATTAAATAAAGGTACTGCCATTTAGTACCTGATGGATTTATTTTTCAAAGTATGATTTTAATTATTTCGCATTTGACAGTTATTTGTATTTTCATTGAAAGAAATTATATTTATCTCACTTTTAGCAAATTAATATATTTCTGTCTTTCTCTAACTTCTGATTCTGAAATGATAATTTTTTGGCTTAATGACCTAATTAGTTAACAGTTTCTGATTTTTGACATAACCTTGATTTAAATTGTTAAAATTTGTGAACAATTGAAGTAGTTCTGGTAGATTTTTGTCCATTCTATTTTATTCCACGTCATTGTGATTTCATTGTAAAGTGAATGTGATCTTTTGGGTGTACTCGTCTGATTGGTTGTATAAAAAAACACAGGATCGTTTTTCCTGTGGGGTTTGGTTTCTGAAACATTCTCTTTTCTCGACAAAGGTCTGGCAGGCAAGTTCTTTTTATTTTTAATAATGTTTGCTTCATATTTTTGGATTCTCCCTCATCAATACCAAAAATACTTGTAAAATTCCTAATAAATCACCTTCAAACTTTCAGGATGTCATAATTAGAGTCTCTTCATCAAATAAAATAAATTTCAAAAGAATCTGATACTCAGAAATAGAGTAATGATGTTTTTTCCTCATCAATACCAAAAATACTTGTAAAATTCCTAATGAATCACCTTCAAAAGCTTATAAAAAATACTTTAAGGAATCAGAGCAACTTCAAACTTTCAGCATCTGATAATTAGAGTCTCTTTATTAAACAAAACAAATTGCAAAGGTATCCGAGGCTCGGAAATAGACCATTGATTTTTTTTCTATGTTAATGCTAAAATTACTTGCAAAATTCCCTTTGAAAATTTCTGAAAAATACTTCAAGACGTCAGAGCGACTTCAAACTTTCAGGATCTGATAATTAGGGTCTCTTTATCAAATAAAATAAATGGCAAAAGAATCTGATGCTCACAAATAGAGTAATGATATTTTTTCCTCATCAATACCAAAAATACTTGTAAAATTCCTAATAAATCACCTTCAGAAGCTTCTAAAAAATACTCCAAGGAATCAGAGCGACTTCAAACTTTCAGGATCTGATAATTAGAGTCTCTTGATCAAATAAAATAAATTGCAAAGGTATCCAAGGCTCAGAAATAGAGCATTGATTTTTTTTCTATGTCAATGCTAAAATTACTTGCAAAACTCCCTTTGAAAATTTCTGAAAAATACTTTAGGAAGTCAGAGCAACTTCAAACTTTCAGGATCTGTTAACTATGGTCTCTTTATCAAATAAAATAAAATGCAAAAGAACCTGATACTCAGAAATAAAGTAATGATGTTTTTTCCTCATCAATACCAAAAATACTTGTAAAATTCCTAATAAATTACCTTCAGATGCTTCTAAAAAATACTTCAAGGAATCAGAGCAACTTCAAACTTTCAGGATCTGATAATTAGAGTCTCTTTATCAAATAAAACAAATTTCAAAGGTATCCGAGGCTCAGAAATAGAGCATTGATTTTTTTTCTACGTCAATACTAAAATTACTTGCAAAATTCCGTTTGAAAATTTCTGAAAAATACTTTAAGAAGTCAGAGCAACTTCAAACTTTCAGGATCTGCAAACTAGAGTCTGTTTATCAAATAAAATAAATTGCAAAAGAACCTGATACTCAGAAATAAAGTAATCATGTTTTTTCCCCATCAATACCAAAAATACTTGTAAAATTCCTCATAAATCACCTTCAGATGCTTCTAAAAAATACTTCAAGGAATCAGAGCAACTTCAAGCTTTCAGGATCTGATAATTAGAGTCTCTTTATCAAATAAAACAAATTGCAAAGGTATCCGAGGCTCAGAAATAGAGCATTGATTTTTTTTCTACGTCAATACTAAAATTACTTGCAAAATTCCCTTTGAAAATTTCTGAAAAATACTTTAAGAAGTCAGAGGAACTTCAAACATTCAGGATCTGCTAACTAGGTTCTCTTTATCAAATAAAATAAACTGCAAAAGAACCTGATACTCAGAAATAAAGTAATGATGTTTTTTCCTCATCAATACCAAAAATACTTGTAAAATTCCTAATAAATCACCTTCAGATGCTTCTAAAAAATACTTCAAGGAATCAGAGCAACTTCAAGCTTTCAGGATCTAATAATTAGAGTCTCTTTATCAAATCAAACAAATTGCAAAGGTATCCGAGGCTCAGAAATAGAGCATTGATTTTTTTTCTACGTCAATACTAAAATTACTTGCAAAATTCCCTTTGAAAATTTCTGCAAAAAAATACTTCAAGAAACCAGAGCGACTTCGAACTTTCAGAATTTGATATTTATGGTCTCTTTATCCAATAAAATAGATTGCAAAA